TGAGCTTTCCTGTGTTGATCCCAGAGATTCAATATAAAATGATAAAAATGTGAGGTTACAGTTACTTCTTTTCTTTTGACTTCTTTTTGTACATTACTATTATCTGTTCTCATAATGGCCTTTTATCATCAAAGCTGTGTACACTCAAATCTGATTACAGAATTAGCATATACAATTTTCACAGAACGCTATGCTTGTTATCATGAGATGGAAAGGAAACAACTGTTTCATCATGTCACTGATGAGCAGTGCAGGAGAGGGGAAGAAACGGTGTCTTTTTAACCATACTGTCTTAAACTGAAAACATTTGGTCAGCCCTTTGTCAGTGAGTGAGGGGGCGACCATTTTTTAGACTGAAGTTTTTTGTGTACACTAAATTCAGTCAATCATAATGTTTGAGTATGTTTCTTCTTGCTCTGAATGGACACCTCGGTAACCAGTGCACTGTTGTTTATTCTCATAAATAAATGCAGTGGAGAGCAGGCTAGCTAGGAAAAGCATTTGGACTGACCCAGGCGATTAAAACTGACATTATTGCCTCTAATTAGAGATCTAATACAGACAGTTATGAGTGCCAAGATATCTCTGTCACAGGAAAGGACCATTTGACTGACATGAAAGAAGGGCTAACTATAAATCACTATTTTTGCATGATGGCAGATTACGTTGATGTCTTATATATGCTGCTGCTGCACACTTCTAGTGGCTCACTAGCACTATGCTTCATAAACAAAACTTAGTTGTCTGTTGGCCTGATGCACAGAAACACGCTTTTCATAAAAAGTGTACCATTTAAAAAGATGTAAAATTTTTATTAAAAAATCAAAAATTGTACAATTCATCTGAATGTCTTTTCCATCTTAGAAATATATGAATTATCACATTTTATCACATATTTGTTGCAGTCCTAATAACCTTTGAAGCAGGAGCCGTCAAATTGTTTATTGGGCCGTATTCTCTCAGAGCAGATACTCTTTGAGCCAGGCCCACAGCTTTCCCCACCCTAACACAAACCCCCTCACACACTTTGTCAGACACACTCCCTCATACATATTCACAAACTCTTGACACTCTCGTCCAATCACACACTCATATCATATTCACATCACAACACATAACACACACACACGCACGCACACACAAACACACACTCATTTTCAATAACGCTTATCCTTCTGGGTCGCGGGGGGTGCTAGAGAAAAATCCCAGCTGTCATTGGACGGAAAGCAGGACACACTTTGGACAGGTTGCCACTCCATTGCAGGGCACAACACATAACAGTGAGGCTTTTCCCAGTCAAAAAAAAAAAAACAGGATACAGTTTTGTTTTTTTTTGACCAGAGGGCACTCCTCCAAAAGGATTAGTAGTCTTTGTCCTTGTGATCACCTGCAAACATCAGTCTGGCTTTTATATGCCAGTCTTGGAGTAGGGGCTTCTTGCTTGCAAGACAGCCTTTCAGGCCATGGCGATGTAGGACTCACTTAATGATGGATGTAGATATGTTGTTACCTGATGCCACCAAGTCTTTCGCCAATTCCTTTTGTTGTTGTCATGAGTTCAGCTGAACCTTTCAGACCAAAGTTTGTTCAGCCCTGGGAGTTCATTTGTCCCTGCTTCCTGAATGTGACCTGAATGTCTGTGCAGTCCCAAGATTTTTATATTTGTATACAGTTGTTTGTACAGATGCTCGTGGTGTCTTCAGTTGGAACCGGAACCGGACGTTGTGGAGGTCCACATTTGTTTTCTGAGGTCTTGGCTGAATTGCTGAATTTATCAAGGGCAAAAAGGCACTGTCTCTAAAGGTAGACACTTAAATGCAGCCACAGGTATGATCCCAATTACCACACTGGAAATCTGATGTAATCATTTAAAGCTGAAATAATCCTAAATCTCTAATCGGTTGTTTTATAATGACCTCTTTTGGCAAGTCAGTTAAAGCAAGTAGATGCCCTGAGTGACTCGTCAAAAGAAATGTACTGTAACATGAAGTATGTGGAGTTGTGAAAAAAAGAAGAAAAAAGAGTTTGAATTCCTTTAGCCTAGATGTGCGTAAACTTTTGGCTGTATGTCTTTATTGTATAATTTCGAAATGAAAAGTTGCTCTCTTTTAATTGGATAGAGCTAGAGTATCCCCTCTATGTGCTCTTACATTTCAGTCTGTATTGGTGATAGAACAGTATTCAGTGCCTTATCATTTTTTGGAGAATGCACATAATTGTAACGGAAAAGGTTTGGAGGATGAGTTGGGGCCTTGCTGTTTGATGATCTATTGTAGAGCTTTGGCTTTTGTTCTTTTTTAGCTGTCAATTTATAATTAACTGTTTTTATGGTGCCAGAAATGTGTTTGGTTCCTCAAGTGAACAAAAGCTCCTGGAGCCAGTGGCTCTGACCGAATTGCTCTTAAGGGTGTGCTTTCCAAAACTCATAGCATGGGTTGGTATCCTGTGAGAATAATAAAAGCCTGCGTAGTAAGACAGCGATGAGTTTTGGTAAATAAGACCACAACGTGGTAAATCATAGTCAGCGCATGCTCGGTTGCCATAGCCCAATGTATATATATTTTTTCGCTGAGTAACCATTGGCCGTACCATTGGCCTCGGTCTGTATTGTTGTCTCAACCTTGTCAAAATCTGTTGCTCTTTGAGTCTCATCCTGCAAGGGGTGTGTTGACCTCAGACATGCAGCAAAAACTTCAAAGCTGTATTTTTTTTGCTGTGGGTTGTTCCATCTTGCACGTGGAGAACACCATCAGCCTGCCTGCTGACTTCAAAGGGAAAGGTTATATGTGCAACAAATGCCATTCCTCTACTTGCTTTTTACAAAGAGCTTGTGTTTGCTGCAACATCCCCAAGGCCAAACCCTTTGTTGTGCTGGAGAATCAGAGCCAAAATTACAGTAGGCCAGTAAACAGCACCAGACACACTTTCTGTTGTAATGCTAAGATTAATTTAACTCAACAGAGACACTAGAAATGGCCTTTGTTACACCGGACTATGTAAGACATATTTTGGGAAATTGGATGGAAAAAGACGAGTTATTGCCTTATATTTGTTATATTATTCAAATAAAATAAATGAATTTCATAAATAGGTACATAATTAGTCACATAAATTTACATTTGGATTTGATTTACATTCTGTCAGGATGTTTGTCTTCAAACTCAAATCATAATTAAATAGTCTTCTCTTTACAAACATAAATGTGTATCTGTACTTTCAGTTTTGGTAAATTACAAGTGACAGATGCTTTTGATATTGTCAGTGATAATTGTGACCTCTAAGCGTTAGTGGTCTGTTTTTTTAAATTCAAGTATAGTTGGAATGTGCAGCATTTTGAGTGCTATTGTTCCTCACAGTCATGCCTTTGTCATATGCTACTGAATACATGGTAGAATCTTTATTGTTAGGGTTGTAAGTATCAATTACATTAAATATAGGCATGAACCAGTATGGGAATTGTGGGCTGATGTTTTTCATGTACATAATAATGTACTTATCTGCCAGTGTTTATAATGTAGATTAATGTAGATTAATAAACATTTATAAAATGTAGAAATTGGAACTGTAGAAATGTGTTATAGAGGGTTACAAGTGCAGTAAAATTAAGAAAGTGCAGCCCAATATTGTCTAAATATTCTACTTTTCTAGTGTACAATTATTCTTAACATTTGTCCACTGCATTCATGTATTTAAGTAACTGCTGATAATGACATGATTCCAGTGTTATTGAGGAATCTACCCTTTATTTCACAGATTCAAAAAGTGCTGATTCCTGCCATTTAATCTATTCTTCTCTGTTAACACTGCATGAATAGAAATATCACACATCAAAATTTATACATCAGAAGCATTGTTTTGCTCCTCAGATTAAACAAGTGATAATAAGTATGTACAGATACAAATTGTGCTCTGAATTAAAAACAAAATTGCGGTGCATCCAACATCTAAAGGAAGTCTTATACACCTTTTACTTAGAGATGGAAAACAGAAACAAAACACTGTAAGCAACTTCTCTAATTTGTTCAGTAATGCACTATGTTCAAGCCAGTATGATACTCTTTTCCAGATGCATACCGCGTCTCGACCACTTGAATTCTGGGCAGACATTTGTGGTACAGGCAAATTCTACTGTATCAAACACTATTGTGTGGCTAACAAAACATTGTGTGGCTACTGTATTATTGTAACAGTATTGTGCTATGACAAAACATACAGTAGCAAAGGACTTTTGTCTTGTTTTTCAGTTAAAAAAAGTGGTTTAAAAATGTATTTCCTGTATGTGTATATATATATTGCAGTTTTTCAAGTAAATCATTGAGTGAATACTTCAACTTAATGCCTATTTGTGAGTATTATTAGAGGAACCTGTTAGCTTTTGAGAGAACAACTGTTGAAATTAAACTGTTGTTAGGATTTTTTACTCTTTAAAATGAAAATGCAGGTTTAAAACTGCCAACTTAACTCTCATTTTATTTCATTTTATTTTTTTCATTTTAAAATACAGTACACTGTTATTACTGTAAACAAACATTACAAATGTTGCAAATATAATTACAGTAAGCTGTACCGCAGCTCGGACACAGTTATTTATTACAGTGAACAACACATAAAGCACTGATTTTACATGCTGATGCTGTTTACTATGGGCTGCTCTGGCAGCAGACTTAAAAAGGTTAAAAATGGATATTGTCAATTTTTTTGAATGTATCACCAGAGAGTTGTTTAATAATATGAAACAAAATGAAAAAAGATAATCTAGGAATCCTTTTAAAAGACTATTGAAACACTATGTGGCAAAAAATGCTTATTAATAGACGTGTTTATCACTTTCTTACTATATGAGTAAAGGGAATTAAAAAATAAGCAATTGTTATCGTGCAAAATTCCAAGTAATCGCTTTCAGTTCACTGAGAAGGACAGTGTTATTGATGATTTTGTTAAATTGAATTTCCTACTTGCTATATGTGAGACAGATGATAATTATTCTTTTCTTTTTGCAGGCTGGCATGCAGTAACGCTTGAGGAAGATGCGCCAGCGGTCGTGGCTCTTTAAATGGCTGGGAATAGGCATAGGAGTCCTTTTAGTTGCAGCTTCAAGTTCGTCTCAGGACACAGACGGTTGGTGCTTCTCCTTGAAGTTTGTGTAAAATAGCAGTGAATGCTGGGATCAGAAGATAACTGGTAGAGAATCTTATTCCACTTGAAATGTGCTACCTCTTTGACTACTCTCATTCATAGTATTTCACAAGAGGGTTTAGTTCTACCTTGTATCGACACTGAATGTGGCTGATGGATTGAAACCTAGGTGATCAAATGCCTATGAAATTGAAATAATCCCAAAAGGGTCCATATCATATCACTAGATTTTCTTGAAAGTATTTGATATTGTATTTAAACATTGTTAAACTTTTGCATATGACTGTATATCCACCTATTCAATCAACAATAGTTCAGACCTAGATACTGAGCTTGAAGTTATAAGGAGTGTTTACACCAGGACTGCTTTTTGAAAGGCAACATACAGGCCAAACAATCAGAACAACGATAATTTGCTTATATATTGTGGCCCTTAAGACACAGTAATAAAAACAGCCTCTTTTAAAATAATAAAAAAAAGAAGTTGGAAAACGGTCGTGTCTACTGTTCTTGGAATATAAAACCATACAAGCATCTTAAGTGCACCTCAGGGAAAAAAATTAATTGCAAAAACGAAACGTAAAATATTGCTTTTTTTGATGCACAGAGTGTATCTGAATATCCTCTGCCTCTTGATGCATATACAGCCCAATTGTCTTGATTGACCACAGCTGCAGCTGGTGCTAAAACAACATCCGTCTATGTGAACAATGCGGTATACCATATGGGTAAAAACATTGTGTTCAGTACAGCCCATACAGAGGAGATACATGTGTTGATGCAAGTATGGAGGATATATAGGGTGCCAATCAAACCTGGCTTTTGTGCAGGAATCCATTTCCTTCATCCTACTTTGACAGCCAGCACCACTCATACGTTGTTGAGGATATACATCAGTGGAGATTGCCTACCATTGCCTGGATGGCTACAGGCAATCAGATAGAAAGATTATCCATCCCACTTAGACAATGGATTTTTGTTTTGTTACTCTTCTTTATCAACTTGAAGTGTCTGAAAACTGTGAAATACGCTCTTTACTTTGTACTACATAGACAAAAACATTGTTTTCAGTACACCTCGTACAAAGGAGTGTTTTTGCAGGTATAGAGGATATATGGGTAAAACAAAGCTTTTGGGGATTTCTTTATTTTTGTTTTCTACTTTGCATATATCCACCTATTCAGATAACAGCAGTTTAGCCTGATCATGTTAAAGTTATAAGGAGTGTGTCAGCTTGGATGTTGCACAATACAGGGCAGCCAATTAGAGCAGAGGTAATTTAGGTACATCAGACTCATGTAAATGTTCAATACAAGGGGATAAAGAGAAGTTGGAAAATGGTCATGATACATAAATTCACACAAACCTCAGAAAATTGACCACAAGGGGAAAAAATGCAAGAAAAATATGGGATATCTGCAAATTTTGGCACATTCTTTTGAACGATATCTGGCCAGCATTAGTCTGTGATTCATTGTTAATCGATAAGCCTAAAAATAAACAATAAAACAAAGGTTAATTATAAAATGCACTGAGATATTACAAAGTGTTCCTTGTGTGGACTGTGGAACAAAGTACTGATAGGCCAGACATAAGTGTATATGAAGTAAACAGCCAAAACTGTATTAAACATATCCAACGTAAGAGCACAGTTTTGTTTAAACCAGGGGGCTGACAGCTGTAATATGTTCATGATTATATAACCAAAAACTACAAAGTTGACGAAAAGACTGGAATTTATAATAATGGGCTACTAAATGTTCTAGATTCTAATGTTCTAAAGTTACCACTCATTACTAGCTTAAGTTACAGCGAACTTGCCATGACCATGGCTAGCTTTGGCTCAGTGTGCCTCAATAACTCTCCAACATGTAATTTTGCACACCCATATGTGACTTCCTCACACCGCTGTGCATCACACTTTCTCTCGGAGAACATAAACAAAGTAGTTGCCTTGTCATTTGAGGATGTTTGCCTTCAATATGGTGCATCGTTGCCCTTTGAAAAAGTGCTCGCTGGCACCACTACAACTTGAAAGATAAATCTAACTAATCATATAAGAAATGAAATAAAATGAAACTTTTTTTACAGACATTGGCTGAACGATTGTTTGTTTAATGGTTAATCAGGTAACCTAACTACAGCTTAATTTACAACATTCATACCATACAACTTCTTATTCTAAGTTATGTAAACTGTGAAGTGGTGGACATACCATCCAGTTTTTGCTTGAAGACTGTGGTCTCTCCATCTCCAACCTGAAATGACTCTCAGTAAGACTGGTTGTATTTCACCTGCACGGCACGTTTCTGGTCCTTCTAAAATTCAGTTCAGGTCTCCATCTTTCTCTGTTTTCCCTCTCTCATCACAGCCAGTGGAACACACCTTTGCGCTTATCTCTTGTTGCATGTCTGCCCACGTCACCATAGGTTATTGATGCAGGTACAGTGGACGGTGTTTGTGTTAAAGAGTGAAAACTTTACATATCAATTTCTCTGCACTTGCTAAGCGCTGAGATGGACTTCTCAGCTCAGTTTTCACCCAGTGATCTTTTTCTTTTATACTCCCAAGCAGCCATCCATCATTATGTATTACGGAGTATTATTTTCATTGTTAGTATTAACAAATCAAGTTTATGCTGGAGCTTTTAACTCACTGAAGCGTATGGTTGTTTCAGATATAATGAAGTATAATATTCTGAGGTGTGCTGTTGTTTTATTGATGTGCTTTTTTTTCCAATACCAACACTTAGCCCAGGAGAAAAGCGACGCATAAACACACCTACATCTAAATGAACACATGTCCTAGGAAATTAATACAGAAAATAAATCTCATATGGACCTTTCAGTTTTAGTGATATATCTTACAAAGAAAAGGAAGATTAGCCTGTTTAACATGATACCCCTTGTACTCTCTAAGGCCACATGTGTTCCCATAGCTCATGCTGTGTTATTTCAGAAAAAGAGTAATTTTAATAATTGATAAGCTTATGAACATCAGAAAAACCTATTTAATAGGTTTAAAAACCTATTTAATAACAAACATTTAAACTCAAAATCACTGTTAATTCAGCCTTTTCTAAATCTATGCTTTCAAGTTTGGGCCCCTTTCTCAAATCATCTACAACCCCATTTCCAAAAAAGTTGGGACGCTGTGCAAAATGTAAATAAAAACAAAATGCATTGATGTGCAAATCATTTAAACCCAATATTTATTTGAAAATAGTACAAAGACAACATGTCAAATGCTAAAACTGAGAAATTATATTGGTTTTTTTTTAAAATATGCCCATTTTGAATTTGATGGAAGCAACATATTCCAAAAAAGTTGGGACTGGCGCATGTTTACCACTGTGCTGTATCACCTCTTCTTTTAATAACACTCTGTAAGCGTTTGGGAACTAAGGAGACTGTAGGAGGCTGTAGTTCTGAAAGTGAAATGTTTTCCCATTTTTACTTGATGTAGGATTTCAGCTGCTCAACAGTTCGGGGTCTTGTTTGTCATATTTCTCGTTTCATAAAGTACCAAATGTTTTCAGTGGGTGACAGGTCTGGACTGCAGGCAGGCCAGTTTAGCACCCAGACTCTTTTACTACGGAGCCATTCTCTTGTAACACGTGCAGAATGTGGTTTTACATTGTCTTGCTGAAATAGTCAAGGCTCTTCCTAAAAAAGACGCCGTCTGGATGGCAGCATATGTTGCCAAAACTTGTAAATATCGTTCAGCATTAATGACTTCACAGATGTGCACGTCACCCATGCCATGTGAACTAATGCACCCCTATACCATCATGGATGCTGGCTTTTGAACTGTGCTTTGATAACGAGCCAAGTGGTCTTTAGCCCAGAGGATGCAGTGCCCATGATTTCCAAAAAGGGGATGCTCTTTTTATACCCAATCATGTTATTGATCTGTTGCCAATTATCCTTAAGGTGTTTTTTTTTTTAACATTACACAACATTACCAGTCTTTTGTTGCCCCGTCCCAACATTTTTTGGCACTTGTTGTTGCCACCAAATTCAAAATGGGCATACATTTTTCAAAAAATGAAAAAAAAAATTAAGTTTTAACACTTGATATGTTGTCCTTGTACTATTTTCAAATAGATATAGGGTATAAATGATTTGTACATCAATGCATTTTGTTTTCATTTACCTCTTGCACAGTGTCCCAGTATTTTTGGAAATGGGGTTGTATTATGATTGTAGCATTTAGTAAAGTAAGATTCTGCTGAAGTGTGCAAATCACATTTATCATGTTATTTTTGTGGTTTTATTGTTACAAGGCTGTAGATTTATCTGTAAAGGAAAGTTTGAACCATGTAGCTAGTGAGTTTGTGTGTAAACATGATTCTAATGTAGTGTAATGTAAACTCTGCAAATGGCATTTTACCTAACTTTGATGATGAGATGTAGGCCTACCAAATTTAAATGTGCCAGGCGTTGTCTAGCTAAACTGTAGCTGACTGTGTGTACAATGATCATCTTAGTAAGAAACAGTGTAAGACCCCACTGTATAAATGATTGCACAAAAAAACCACAAAGGCTAGCTAATTAGGAAATAACACATCGAAATCTTAAGCAACAGTGTCATAAGTAATTTGTTTACTTATGACTCTCTGTTTTTATTATTATTATTAATTTATTCATTCCTTCTTGCCCAGTTTGCCAGTTATCTCCCAAATATAGTCATGTCAATTCCCATTTGCTAGCTAAGTCTGTTCACTGTTATGTGATGATACCAAGCTGGGAGGGAGTAGGCCAGCACATGCTTCCTCTGAGACATGTGAAGCCCAAAAGTGCACGTAGAACATTTAGAATGAGCCACGTTAGACCCAGAAATGTTGTAGAGATGGCAAGTTGCTAGGGGGGGAAATAAATAAATAAATAAATAAAATGACCCTACTGCATTAAACTGACATAGAAAGTGATACATTGTTTTTTCTCTGTACCTAACTACATTTGTCTGTCATTTTTACATGA